TTTTTTTTTTTTTCTGATTGGTGGTGGCAACTTTGTTCTTTGTCTTCTATAGCCATTGATGAGGATATGATTCAACTCTCGACCTATCTTCTTTGGTGGCTTTGGAAGGCACGTAGCCTTTGGATGTTTCAGAAGCAATGGCTCCCAGAGCTTTGCATATTGAAGCAAGCGGTTCGGGAGTGGTTACTGGTTAGAGTTCATGTCTGTTTAGTTGTTTTGATGGTCTAGGTCTTGGGACATTGCTTTGTCCGTCTATTAGTCTTTTTTCTGTTTGTAGTTGTGTGTTGTAATCGGTAGAACCTCAGCTGGTTTTAGCTGCCTATAGGTTTGTTAGTTTATGTCTAGGTCACGCCTGGGTGGTCTCCCATTTCTAGCGGTTGTCTTTGGGTTTTGCATGTGTTTGTATTTGGACTTTGTATATATTTTCCATGTTATTTGAGTTTCCTATTGTTTCGAAAAAAAAAAAAGGCAAGGAAATTCGACGATTGTCCTCAAGTTAAACAACCCGTGATGGCTCATTGAGATGACATAAATTGACATGATCTTTTTTCTCTTGTAGAATTCGAAGATTGTCCTTAAGTTAAACATCCCGTGATGGTTCATCCTGATAACAAAATTGACATGATCTTTTCTCTCACAAGAACCGTACGTTGCTAAGCTACACTACTTGCAAACACTATATTCCCCGTTAACATGTATTGTTATTGCAGTGCCTTTCACGTTCAAGAACTCCCAAAACGAAAAGGATAAAAGCGTAAATGCGACCCGAAAACCAAATCATTATGGCATCGGGCTCACAATCTAACCGCTTGAAATATTTCCATTCACCCATGCATTCAGCTCCTATGAGCAACCACATATTCCTTTTGTCCGAAAAAAAAAATAAAAATAAATAAATAGTACAGTTATGTCTTCATAATAATTAAGCAATGGTCACTATTACAGTTTCAACATCCAATTTTGCATACAGTTTCCCAACTACACCCTCCAATGGCTTTTGCCGCTACAAGCTAAATACGAGTTACATTCCTTAGGGGGTAATCTTTGCAACCAACGGAAAGTAAATTGCGTGCAGCTGTTCATTTTTTTTCTCCAGTTGTATATAAACAAATTGCAAGCTTACAGATCAGGCGTGTTTGTTCTTCCCACATCGCAGTTGTACAAAACCACCAATGCCAGATTGCTGCACCGCGTAGAGCAATGATGACAGAAGATGAAAACCACCAAAATCATTTGAGAAATTCTTGTGAAAATTATTTTTTATCTGCAAGCAACCAAATACAGCAATAGCACTTTAAGGATTAACCGACAATTCTACACTATTTTGAAAACAAAATAAAGGACGAAAGAAAAAAATCAGACGTGAAGATCCTGCATCTTTAAAAAAATCTTAGCCACAGGTATAAACCTTCGATCATTGCTGCTGCTCGTATATCTGCATGTATGCCTCGGAGAGGGCAACCATCTGGGGCAATGTTTCAGACACGTGAAGATCCTGCATCTCGTACCTGGTGAGTAATGAGGCAATAGATTAATTAAGGGTGGTAATAAATATAACGGTCTCGGATCGAATTTACAGCGGAAGGGAATCTAAATTCTTACCACAACTCTTCTGACTTCCGTTGCACAAACACTCTATAGGATCCTTCACCTGGCTTACCGTCATGAACTACATTCGCAATTAAGTCATACTTCGACCGCAGCTTTTCATTCTCATTGCGTGGTGTGGGAAGAGGGATGTAATCCTTCAGTTCGAGATTCTTCACAGGGAAATTAACTAAGACAAAGAAAAAGGATAACATAAGGAACCAGAAAAATAAACGTTTCAGCTCCTGTAAGTATTGAACATTCCGGCAAAGACAACTAATCCAACAGTCGCTCACCAAGGGTTGGATTTTTTTCCACAAAAAAGTTGTTTTTGGTAAACCGACGCATGTGGAGAATAACATACTGAGGTAATTTCGTCACACGGTATCTCATTCTTGCTATGCTAGGACGAACAACTTCAGTGACAGTCTCCCCATCGAATTTCTTCAAAATGTTAAAAAGTGGAACCTGGACATCAACATTGTGTTGGCTAATTAGTCAATTTTCCTGATTTAGTTTACCAGCCGTCAGGAGAAGCATACATCTATACTTATATAAAAAGACATTCTATTTACTAGAATTAGTAGTAAGAAAAGTCAAATGTAATTAATGCATTCTATTTCCATCAAGTATTTTATTTAATTATTTTAGTTAATTGTTTTATCTCATAACACCTTTTCAATACAACTTACCATGATTTTTCTATTTTGATTAAAAACCCAATTTTACGTTTAAAATCGTATGAAATTATTATTAATATTTTTATAAAGCACATATTATTTGTTAAAAAATTATATATAATACACATCACAGTACCATGGTAGATGATTTAAATTTCAACCGACCAAAATGCCAATAATTTAAATTTGAACACACCTATGTGTTTGACCAAATGTCTGGATGATTTAAAATTGAGCCCATAAAAAACTATTTAAATTTGAACACACCAAAAATTTTATGTACTTTTTATTTATAAATATATTGAAAGTGGTATTTAGTGGTTGTTATATAAACTATTTTAATATGTTTGCAATGAATAAAAGTTTGAATAAATAATTTGTAATGTTATTCATAATGTTTGTGACTTATGAGACACGAACACATAACTCGATACATATTTGTCAGAAGGCGGCTTAATAATTTTTTAAACTTAACGTTGATTAAAAGAGGTAGAAAATAGATTATAACATTATTACTTTTTAGACTTAAACGAACAAGACTGTGAAAATAACTCATTTAATATCTTTGTCTCGTGCGATGCACGGGGTACGTACTAGTCAATATAAAGAGTTGTATAACTCAAGGAAGAAGAAGATCAAATTAACCAGCCAAGAGAGGATCACACCAAAAAGATATTCCCCTACTATTAATTAAGAAAATAAAAATAAGCAAGTATGCAAAGAACTACAAATCTACGGTGTAAGCATATAACCAAATGCAACAAACAGCAGAGTGAAAGTTTATTCCTTATATGAAAAATTTTAATAGCATAGAATCATGAACAAACTACATTTCATAAAATTCAGAAGGAAATCAGCTACACGCAAATAAAAGAATAATATATTCTAACCTGGGGAATAATGTTCTTTTCTAAGATATCCTTAAACAGTGGAGGCGGTGGCAAATCTAACCCAAGCATTATGAAAGGCATTTTGCTCGTTTCCGAGTTCACATTATCCACACTATCATCTCCATTCCCATTGTTCTGATTGTCCCCATTCTCTTTTCTCTCAACAAGTTTCTTGCTGGGGATTTCTTTCACGACCTCCAGCTCACCCTATAACATATTTATTGATAAAACTATAGGAGGGGAGTAAATGAATATTTCGCAGAAGCAATACAAGTCTATAAAATGTGTGCTTGGAGAAAGAACCTGAAAGCACTGATGAATGATGCTGCTGCCCTTTTTTCTGCTCTTAAGATCTCCATGCAGTGTATTAAGAAGCCATGACATGAATTCAACTGGATCTGATTGTGCACCTATGCGGAAACGTTTTTTACTAGCTTTCATAACCGCCTGGAGAAATTCATGCGGACTCACCTGCAAAATACTCGATATCAAAATGTGAAAGTTGGGAGCCAAAGAAGGCCTGTAAGGTAAATGCAGCATTTTAACCTGTCCCTTAAAGTTCCTTGCATGCCATATCTTTCGTGTGAGCTCTCCAAATCGAAGAACAAGTTGAGATTTGCAGGGGGCATAGTTCTCGGGAATTAAAAAGAAGTTCCTCAATGGAGTAACACGCATCAAAGATTGAATGGTAACATTTACAAAATCAGTCTCTTTGATGTTATTTAACCCCACCTACATAAAACAAATAAAAGACTAAAACAATGAATATGATTTTGCACGATTAATTTTATGGAGAACATAGAGATTCTAACTAACTGAACACGAAGAAAACTCAATGAAATACCATTCCGGGAAGATAATCAGATCCATCAAGTGCCCTGGACCAATGCCGATTCTGGTCAGTTTGTGTAACTTGGTCTCTCGTAAACCTGTAATATACATGGAAACTACTAAATAAACCCATAACAAACTATAGCAAGGAGGAGAAAAATTGTCAAGAGATGAAAAGGATGACAAGACATTTACAAAAAGAAGTTCATACAGAAAATAGATACAAGTCTTGGCAATTGGAAAGTCAGACTTCACAGGAATACAAGCAAAGTAGGTTGCATGAAAAACATACAAAAATCAGAAAAAACGAGTTGAAAAATGAATAAAGAATCAAACGTGCCTTGGATTAAGCACATGCCGTATGTCGTCCAGGGACGGGTCAATAACTTCATATCCATCAGGAAGACAGTAAACTTTCTCTGTTCGAAGATTAATGTAAACATGGTGGCCAGCTTCAAGACTGTGTGTATATGCATGAGACTTCTGTCCTCTCCCTTGGTAGTACTTACCACAAACCAAACATGCATAGACATTCAAGTTCGAAAGAGACACCGAGCAGAATCTTTCAAAGTCAAAATCTAACACCTGACAAGTGACAAGAGACAAAACAGACTCGGATTCAGATTACAACCAAAAATAAAAATGACAAAAGAAAAAGAGAAAAACTAGAACAGTTAATCTTTAACCAAATTATCATTGAGGAAAATGTTTAAAGGCTATAATTCTTGATGGTTCACCTATGGTGTAAAATAATTTCCACTGGTAACATTGCAATACTTCTTTGCTCTATCAGAACATTATAAACACACGTTATGAGTCAATTTAAGAGTCAAGAATCATGATATAGGTATTCTTCTCTTGGCTTCAAAACAATGGTTGGTTTCAGTCAAGTAACCAAACTGCAATTCATTGATTTAACTAATAAGTTGCAAGATAGATAACATTGTTGTGGAGATGCTACTTTCGGACCAAGGTAATACTGAAGCACGGTTTTTGATTATGTGTTTACTGTCATATCTATTTACCATCAGCAGCACATTCACCCCGTATGCCACCCTTTGAATATATATTTTCAACTAAAAATAGTTAATAATGGATTAATTGGCAACCTGAGAAAGACTCTAATTTGAATAACAAGCTAGCAAATTATAATATCTTAACCAAATTCAGCATCAAAACATTAACAATCATTAATTGATAAACAATCATTAATTGATAAGACTCAACATCACTTCCTCTTGTAGAAGACAGTGTAGTCTGGATTAGCACAACCATTAAACTGAATTAGCACAACCACTGGGACAGGAAGTTCAATACAAAGAAAAATTCAAGGTTTGGGAAGCCCAGTACCTGTCTATTGACAGTATCAAGATAAGGACAGTCCCTTCTCACTTCAATCGCACGACCTCGCCTGCCTTGCCCTGCTCTATTTCCTTCATCCTCATCGTCATCTTCTTCTTCGTCTCCGTCTTCTTCTTGCCGGCGGCGGTTCTTGCCGTCATGCTCGGCTCCTCCGCCGTTACTAACAGCTGTACCGCCATTTCTGCCATTTTCCTCTTCCTCCTCGTCGTCGTCGTAGGAAGCGAGCGGCAGCAGAGGGTTTTCGAATGGCGCAGATTGTTCGACCACCTTCTGGCGCTTGGCATCATTCTCTCCGTCCACTGCGTCCTCGGATTGTTCTCGTTTGTTCTTCATGGCTTCTAGGGTTTGCGATCTGATTCCTCCGGCGTAAACTGGACGAATTGCACTGCGAGCTTAATTTCTAATTCAATTTCTTTCTGCAATTCATAGTTAACTGAACTGGCACATTCTAGCATATGGGCTCCTAAGACCATTTAAAAGAGGCCCGTTATACAATATTAGGCTATATGGGCCCAATAGCTTATGATATCTACCCGATATTGGGCTTCTACAATTCTTATGACATGAATGATGGGCAGCCTACAGCTTCCAGTGCATTTTTTTTGAAAAAATTGTCTTATAGATCAATAGAAAAGAAATAGAGAAATGAATAATTATCATATATAAATCATAAAAGGAATTTAAGTTGTTGAATAAATATAATATAAAATAGTTGATGCTCGAACATATTTTTTGGTATTATAAATATAATATATATATATAATTGCCTACATTCTGAGTGAAAGAAATTAAAAGGGTGTATTCATTCTGAATTTTTAGAACACTTTTATCAGTGATCCAATCACAAGGAAATTGACAAAAAAAAAAAAAGAACAAAGAAAAAATAAAAAGTCATGAAAAAATGTTCGAACCAGGTCACAATATGACCTCGAGTCGCAGCTGGCTATCAATCTGGGAAAGAGACCAGTGTCTCATTTTTATTGGACAACATGACAAGTGTATTTTCTAGATAAAATAAAGAATAATTTTTATTTATTTTGTGTAATTTATATTAAAAAAACTAATATTCATATTTTTCTATTATCTATAAGTACCATTGTACAAAAAATCGATTCGGCGGCGCCTATGCAGGCCTAGGTGCTCCTAAGCAGGCTTGCGGCAATTTTTCAGTTTTCTTAATACTATTTACATTATTTTGTTATTTTTTTTAAATATAATAGTATTATTATTATTTGGACTTAGGTGTGTGGATCTATTATAATCTAGGTAGTGAAAATAAATAAATAAATAAATAAAGATATATAATCTTATCTAAGCCCTGTCCCACCCAGGTGCTCTAGTTGCTAGGTGCTAGTCGGGCGCTTAGCGACTCCTAGAACACTAATAAATACTAATAGAGACCGCATTTGATAAGTTTGGAATATAATTGCAATTTCTCTATTTTCACTCTTTCCCTAATACTACTTTCCTAGTACGTAACCCGTGCGATGCACGGATTGTATTTATTTTGGTAACATTTATAATTAAATTATTAATCAATAAGTTATAATACATTGAGTATTTGTTAGGTACTTGTAAAATGTTCGTCATGAAAAAGTCATACATTATTAAAAACATCGTCATTTTTCCATGCAAAATTACTTTGCACTTGGCAACCGTAGACCGATATTTACCAAGATTGCTCTCCAGTTGGTAATTGCGAACTGCATAGCCACCTTCTTACTTTATTTATTTATTTATTTTTGTTTAGTTGATTTTCGTTATGTTAGCACCACAAATTAAAATTATAGTGTAAATATGTAATATTGTGATAAATACTAAATATATGATTTATCTGGTAAAGTTTAATTTTATATAGAATATAAGAAAAGTTGTTACCTTAAAGTGTGGATTTTGAGTATATCTTTTTCTCAATCATTCTCGTTTTTTATTCCAAATTCATTCCAATATTGAAAACAATTTTGTTTTTCGTTATGTTTTAACAGAGATTTGGATTTTTTTATTGTACTTTTGTAAAACAATATTTACAAGAATAATTACGTTAAAAAAAAACAATATTTTATCATTTGTAGCTCAAAACTAACTAAATGAATCGGATGACATTAAATAACTATTTTTAAATGAAAAAAATATTTCATAACTAAATTGTTAAAAAAAAATAATTCAAAATGATAAAAAAAATGTGATAATATAAATAAAAAGTTATTTACATGCGTAGTAGAATAGTGAATCGAATATTGTGGCAATTTTTAAAAACATGTTACCATTGAAATCTTTACTAAATTTTTTACTTGTAGTTAAGTCGCATATATTGTATAACTATATATGGAAAAAAAATAAAGTTCAAATATGCGATTTTTTTATATGTATATAATAAACCAAATAATTAAATTTTTTATTTATCATTTATATTGTTAATATTGATACCATAATTATTATAAAGTTCTACTCTCATTTTACGGCAAATTTATGTTATATTAAAATGAATTGAAAAGTCTAAAAAGAGATATAGATTGAATTAAAAATATTGAATCGTTGTTAAATTATTTGATTCCATAATTATACTTATGTTAAAATGATACTTCATAATATTTGATTCCATAATAACATTGCTTTTAAATAGAATTGATTCCAAACAGTCTGATTTAGTGTTTAATCAAATATTATGGAATATTTTTTTAAAACAATAAATCCGATTGTTGAGGGAAGTTAAAACTGATTGCTATTAATGCTTCGAGGTTTGTTTTAAGGAATTGTGTAAAATTACTAATGTAATTAATTCATAATGGCAAGAAATGATTATTATATTTGATTTGCATTCTTATTATATACAGATATAGATAATCTAAAAAAATATTGATATGAAAATATTATTTAATGTAATTTATCAGGAAAAAGAGGTAAAATAACAAGTTGTAGTTATAAGAATACAAATGATTAAATAGTAATTTTTTAATAAATTTGTAGAATGTTAGATTTCTAATTAAACATTGTATTAAAAATTTTAAAACATAAAATAAATAATATATATATATATATATATATTTAATTTGCGGAAGGATAAATACCTTTGAGGTGTAAGAGGTCAAACGGGAAGCAGTGGAGATGCACGGCCATGTCCATGCCGGAATTATACTATTCTATAGATTTTGCCTATATATTAGCAAATTGAGATTGTATCGGTTTATTCCTAAAATTCTGGATGTATCAGTTTATTCCATAGATCAATATCTAACCAAATTTTGAAAAGTGAATAAAAATCGGATTGTATCAATTTATTCCTAAAATTATGGATGCTCATTATTTTTTTATCCAAAATTGTCCTAACATTCTAAATTTAGCATGTAAATAATAAAATTGGCGGGAAATAATTTCTAAAAGTGAATTATGTTAATCCTTATTATATATTAATAGATTAGTTTTATCATCCCTTTTATTTTTCTTAATTTCCAGCAAATATATGTGGATCCAAATTTTGAATAATCTCTAACTCTCAAAAGTTGTCAAACTCTTAAAATTTTTTAAATTTCAAAATGATTCACATGAGTCATTTTTTCCAAATTTAACTCAATTTCCTACTTTTGGAGAAGCCCAAAACTCATAAAACATTTTTCATATTTATTTCAAACATGCAACATACACGCATTTTTAATTGTTTAAGTAATTTTAATATTTTGTGTTAACTTTTGTAATTTTAATTTTTAATTGAGTTTGTATTTTTTTAATTGTATGGTAAAACGTTAACTTTTTAAAATCATTACGACTTTAATTATAAGATTTTTAATTAATATGTCACAACTAAAATAAGAACAAAATATATTAATGTAGATTGATACATGATACCACCAAGTCGATTCGACCCGAGAAGTAGTCCAACCAAACCAGGGAACCGACTGGTCGATTGTGACTTCACAGTTAAGGAGGCTCATCAGGAGGTCGAGTTAGGGCCCGCGGATGACCTGATAAAAACTCAATTTGGAGGTATACAAGTCGATGAATCAAACTGAAGGACAGTGTACGCGAGCACGACGGAGAGGCAATCTACCTCAAGAGAAGCCGAGTTGGTCGTATAACTAGACTGTCTAGTAAGGTTGACTAACGGATAAGAAGTAATATAATTAAGATAAGAATCACATGCATGTTGATTAGACCACATAGCCTAGCAGAATCCGATAGTTCGGGCACTTGGGCAGTACGAACGGGCAGTTCGAGCACTCAGCTAGCCTATCCAGACAGTTTTGGGCAACGAAGTAACATCCTTATATAAAAAGGTGATATATGTATATTTACACTCTACACACTCTAATATACTTACAAGCTTATATATCTACTTGTCATCGTCTTCTTCATTCACATACTAACTTGATCGTCAGAGTAGCGCTAACGTCGCAAAAATCTCATAACCCATTTTGCAGGTCTTTGAATCAGACGTGAGGGGATCCAAGGTCGTCCAGCCGGTTGAAGTTGTTTGCACACGATAATAATAAGAAAAATGTCTACT